ACCCCACTGTGAGGGTGGGGAAAACTGGCATTGAAACCGCTTCAGGTCCTACAAACAATCTCTAAAAAGAGAGCTCGGACTCCACAATGTTGCAAAAAAATGCATCTCTAGTGTGGCAGGTCACGGACAGGGGAACTAAAATTCAAATCCTGATGTAGCTGTTGTGACTAGATGAAAAATGAAAGTGCTTTGTATCGGCAGGAAATGGCCCCGCACGATCTTGGCATATTAATATAATATAGAAGCTGACCTGTTGGATGCCTGTTGCCAGCTTTCTTCGCACCTCGTCCACACTTGTTTCTCTGTCTCCCTCTTCGACAGGCAAAATGCACGCTGCGATGATTGCGTGGGGGCTGCGCTCCGCAGACCACTATTAGTTTGCTGATTGAAGGTCGGACTGGCAAAGAATGGAACGCTCACTACCCAATCCTGATGTCCCCCCTTCTCGAGCCACGGAAGTAAGAAAAGACCTTCTCTACTCGGTTAAGGTCGCGTTCTCCCAGGTGGTTGCTTTACGTCATCACATCCCTATAAACTCCAGGCTTAGTTTCCGGAGGTTGCAAGAGGGTCTCCCAGGCCTCTCTCCATTTTTAACAGGCAAGAACTTGTCCAACTGACTGGGCGCTTGCTTGCTTTGAGGATTAGTCTTTCACAGAATCTAGCTGTGCTGCATGGTACAGATGATGACTGCACTGCTGCCAGGATGCTCGGCTTTTCTAGAAGCCGAAGCTTGGTATGGAAACTGGCTAGTTGCAATCCATGCACGGGTATCAGCCTGTTGTATCCCATCTCGACCAGGGCTCCCGCAGGAGGTGACAGCGAGACGATCCAAACACGCACTTGCTGATCATTGCCGGTGGACACGCTGCACAAGCGGTAACAATTCAAACTCTGGCGTCAAGCGTGCCCGGTCCCAAGTTCGAGGCCAGAGCTTGGTCATTGGAGCCACATCTTCCCAGATTTACCATAACTGCGTGCAGATGTTGAATTAAAAGTTGACAAGGGGCTAAATGTCTCCTTCGGGTGAAAATCCTTCGTGGGTGACTATGTTTGTACAGTCAAGTTTTGCAATACCAGTACAAGACAAAAGCAGCCGCCAACCTATGATGCAGCTACCTAATGCCCAAACAAAGGCAGTTTTTGCCTGCGGTGTGGCTCTGCAAAGCCGATATTAGTCTGGAGTCTGTGCCATGCTGCACATGTGGATGATGCTCTCCTCCGATCATGCTCCGAAGCGTGCCTGGAAGTATGGGGAACGTCGCACGACTAGCCGGCTAGCCGATGGCCAGTGGAGGGAGGTTTCTGACCTCAAGTCCAGCTTGAAGACCGATGCGACGTGTCTTGGTGAACTCAACGTGTCTTGGTGAACTCAACATTGGCAGTATGATGGGCGGCTGCACCTTCTTTACCGGAACTTTTCCAGTAGCCTGGCACCCAAATTCAGTCGAATCGAAAATGCATTTCTGAAGCTCTAAGCTGGCCAGTCGGGCAGTCCACTCATATACCTCCAAGTCCTGCAGAGCCTGCAATGAAAAGCTGCACGGTGGTGAAGCAAACCGGGAAAACAAGTTTCAAGGGACACAGCCTGCGCCATAGATTGATGTCTCGGAGTTACCTTCTCGTCCTGCATCATTGGGATCGCTACAGCAAACTGCTGGAAACTTAGATAGATTGTGTAATGGCACCTACAGACAGGCACAAACCACTTTTCATGTGCACTCACGTAAATTGCATGGGAGTTTATGAACCATGTACATGGTTCAATGTGAAACTTAGATCCGGGGCACTAGGTCCCAAAGCAAATATGCAACGACGTTCATGATCGGCCGGCCCAGCTGACCATGACACCCTACTAGCAGTGCAGCTCGCACCGAGCTGTTACGACAGCCAAGGATGCACCTTGGATTTCGTCTTCTCTTGGAGACGAGACCAGGGTGTATTGTCAAAGCTGAGATGGAGGAATCCTATGCTTGCCGTCTGGCAGGCCATCAACACTGCCTAACACATGCTAACCGCGCTAGCTTAAGTGTGTATCTCACAAAGTCTGGTAAACCAACATGGGTCTGCCCAGGTGGGGTGGCCGGTGTGGCACCTGCAGCACCAGCGGCGACATATCCTAGGCGACAGCTGCGGATCCGTGGGTCCTGCTCGCAGACAGCTCCTACAGGTGGCCTTTGAGCTGGCTTCCTCGGTTCAAACTGTACATCCAGCAAGAAATCTTGCAGTGTCCGGAATGATGACCGGTGCACTGTGGAAAGATTGGAACCTGAGATTAGATCTCGTGACTATGTCGTGTCTCATGCAGGTATCCAGTACCCACCAGACTCCCACTGCTGTACAGCAATTTGGTTCCAACCTCTCAACCATCTTTGTAGCTAAGAAGAATGCAGATATTGCCGAATGCGTTCTTAGAACAGCAATCCAAATCACATTCCAATGTCAATCATCACGGCCGCGGTCACCCGTACCTCGGCAATTTTGCCAGAAAGAGAAGTGAAAATGCTTGGAATAAGTCGAGGACCTCACTCGTTGGCACTACAAATCGAAAACAATCCTGCAAAGCACTGAGCACAAGTTCATGCAGAGCTTGCTTGGCCCAAAGTTCGTTGGACAGCTACAATGGTCATCAATGTCGATTCGTGAAACCCCAAGCAAAGCCGGGCCTCTGCCCCTGGGAAGGGTATGGTGGCCTCGCTCTAGGCAACCAACCACTTCTAGAAGCACTTGGTTCGCCCACGCAAGACACAAGCACCTGTTCAGAGATGTGCTTAAGTTCCCACCGAGAGGCTCCGCTGTCCGTTGAAACGGCGGTCGCAGGTCCTCTTATGGCGCGACTCTTGTACAAGCAAACACTTGCCGATGAAACCAAGCGCCCCTGACAACAGACTGGTTTGTAAGCTGTCCTGGCACACCTCTTCCACAGGATAGTACTGTGACTGAAGCTGGGGATGCTCCAACTGCATGTGCAGTGCTTGCTGCAGCTGAGCCTGCTGCATTTGCAGTTGCTGTAGCTGTGCTTGTTGTCGGTGTGCTTGCTGCATTTGCGCTTGCTGCATGTGAGCGTGCATCTGCGCCTGCTGATGCAATTGCGCTTGCTGCATCTGCACTGGCAGAGAGCGTCCCTGATTCATTGGATTTTGCATATATGGCTGCCCGCCATGTGGGCCATGCGCCGTCTGCATTTGCAGGTGTTGGGCCTCTGCATATGGCACGAACGTTTCCTCGAACCATTCACCTGGGGGGTTCCTGTACTCCTTGTATTCAGAGGATGTATGGTGTCGCGAATGGCGGTCAGTCTGCGAGCGCATGGACCTGGAACTGTGCGAAGCTGTTGATCGCAAAGATCGTGAGTGATGGCTGGAACCTGCAAGCGGAATCACGTGGCTATCCACACCGTCAGCTACCAGCGAGGCCGGCCCCACCAGTCTTGCCCAGCCCATCCCCTACCAGCACAGCACTATCATGGTCCCCAAACCGAGGAGATTGAGTTTCCCATTTGTTGCTTCGCCTGCCTTGCAACCGTGAACGGATGGCTACAAATTTGCTGAACTTGTCCAAGCTTTGAATTTCGGGATGGCACGGGTCAGAAACCTTGAGGTATGAGGCGCTGCGGCTACCCTCTACTGCCGTCCCTACATGTGGCAGCATAAGATCCAATCAATCGGAAAGACCGGAAATCCAGCTAGCAGCCCGTTCTCGAAGAAGTGCCACTTGCTTTCCAAAGCCTTAACGATGCATCCGAAGATTGGACTGAAGATTCTGGCTGCCACATTGTGTGGTCTTGCCATCCTGGCTGCCATTGCAATTGCTTGCCTGATGTCTTGGCTGTTGCCCTCATTTGGGGGAAAAAATCTCTGCAGACGCTGAAACTGAAACCAGTGCTACCAGCTCTTGGCGCTCGACCAGCTGAATGACATGTTACAGTAGATTCGTGCCCAGATACATTCTGACGTTGGAGCTGTCAGTTGGCCCAGTTGGATTGATTTTGCTGAGCAGCTCTTGAGGCTGTACTCGCTTTGCCTAGTTGGCTAGCTGGGAGAGCGCAGTGAACCCTGTCTCAGCATGCATGATGATGAAAAAGCTGCTGAGGAGAATTCAGCAGAAGCCAGACATACCCGCAGCTCGATAAAGGCATATTTTCATAGAGTTGCACCTTCTGCCACGTTGCCCTAACGATGGCTGGCAAAGAATGCATTCACCAGTCATTAGTGTGACTTCAGCGAGTGAACGCGGAGCATGGACCCAAAGCACAAGTCAATGCCGCAGCTGCCTGCCTTGATTGCTGCTGCTGGATCTGCTTGACTTAGCCAGGCATCACATCAAGATTTGTAGATACCTGTAAAATGACTCAGGTCCTCACCCCACCTGAATCTGTGGAGTCCTGGCCACAGCAAGCAAGCAAGCTTTGTGTGTCACGACCTCCCCCACATCCACGCACATTGCACATGTCAAGCTGATCCCCACCAATTTTTGACTGGTCTTGCAACATCTCCAGCAAAAACCCTGTTGGCCCAAGACCTGTAAGAGCAACATCTCCTTTTGACAGTCACACATGCAAGACAGTGCGCCACAGAACTCCACCACGGGAGCTTTCAAGAAGACGTGCCGCACCCTGGTCCTGATAAAAAACATCGTGCGGGGGACCCAAAAAAAAACTATATGCAATCTCGCGCTCGACTGCAGTCGCGAGCCCCCGTTGCTCCGACCCCTTTGGCTTTAAGTCGCACAGTGATTCCTGACACTTTTCCAAGAAGACCTGGTCTTGTTTGTTCATCTGTTTGCAACAGTGGACACGAATTCATATTTCCTCATGCGTATTGTGAGTGGCAAGGAATACTGATGTCTTGAGGTAGACACCCGTGGGCATGCATCTTGCCATCCAGAATCAGAAGTCGATTGTTGCCCCGGTTGACGGCACGCGGCTCACCAGGCTTCTGAGGATGCGTGCCTCCCCCGCGAACGGTCCGACCACTTGACCACCCAACCATTTAGATCTGCAGTCTCTGCTTGTTCAGGAGTGCTGTGTACGAATCCAAATCAGATCCATGGCAGATGTTGGACTGTATGATGGTGTTGCAACATTGCTTGCAGCTCAGGCCTGGACGGATGATCCTTAAGGTGCGGCTCCTAAGATTGCCACGGCAACCGTACCTTTGTCATAGCCGCCAGAGAACTCAGATAAAAGCAGCTGATTCGTTTGACTCCTGTCGTGCAGCTAAACACATACAAGCTCCAAGCACATCATCCTGGCTGCCGGCCCGCCAACAAGGCCGATGCACGCTTGCGATTACGGCCACAACAGGCAGACAAGCCCTGCTGCGTGACCCCAACATCTCGTCCAGCAACATCTGGATGACATTGTTTTTGTCATCATGTTTTAGCTTCCGAAGCCTGCTAAGCATGCCACAGGACATTTGGAGGCAGATCCTTTTGCTGCCCCCCATGGTCCACTGAGCACATGGCACATGCGCTCCTCATGACACGCACTCGTGCACCACACATGACATAAACTGAATATCAAAATCCAGGCTATTCTGTTGTTTGTGGTATAGTTGCGTTCTTTATATTCCACTATTCCAAAACCTGAAATGTCCTATTATTTCTAATAGGTTGTTTCGGAATTTGAAAAAACTCCAAAAAATGGTAAACAACTAGTGCCTAATTTGCTGAATAAAAAATTTGTTTTTGGAATTTTCACAAATTCCAAAACCTTCCTAATGATTTTAAAATTCCGAAATTTCCATTTGTATTTCCAATGGAATTTATAGGGAGCAGAACCTCTGGAAACCAGGAATCCAAGATTCCGGGATTGCCCTTTAATTCCAATTAAGTGTTGCAAGGAATTTTGCGGAGCAGAAACCAATCGCAAACCAGGAATCCAAGATTTCAGGACGTACTTTGAATTTCCAATCACATCTATAAAGAATCTATAAGGTGTCCCTAAGTACAGAAAGTCACAACGTTCAAAACTCCTTTAAGTAGCCCGAGAGCACGTCCCAAGCCGGAAATCCAGGATTCCGGGGATGTTCTTATTATCTTTGATTACAAGTTGGAATTTCAATGGACCGGAATCAACTCCAAAACCAGAGCTCTAGGAATTTCGGAACTTTCTGATCTATCATAAATAGAGTTCACAAGGAACTCAAATAGACCGGAGCCGCCTTCAAAACCGGAAATCCAAGGTTCCGTGAATGTTCTATTCGGTCGTTCTATCATCTCCGTTTTGACTTTATCAGGAATGTACAACAATCTAAACCATTTCCTAGACAGCAATTGCAGGATTCTATGAACCAGCTGTAAAACTGGAATTCTAGGATTCTTGGCTTTTTTTAATTCTCATATCAATCCACGCCACTTCCAAAACCAAAGATCTAGGATTCCAGATGATTCCAGGATCTCCTCTTCTCTTGGTTTCCCATTAGATTGTTGAAGCCACCTCCAAAACTGAAATTTCAGGATTCCGGAAGTTGACTCTAGTTTCTAAGTAGATTGAAGAGAATTCGCCTAAATAAAGCCGGCTCCAACACTAGAATTCTGGGATTCTTTTCTGGGTTGGCCCCTAAAGACCTTTAAAAAATGTTAGGATATAGGGTCCCTTATTAAAGCCATTAGGGAAAATATTAAATATCCCAGGAGCCTACCCAGTTTTTCTTTCATTTCTGGATAGAATTTATTTGGACTGAAACCACTTTCAAGAGCAGGTATCTAGGCTTCCAGGATTTCTCTTTCATTTCTATCATTCTAAATTGGAATTCCCACAGACCCATGAAAGCAAAAGGTGGATCATGGGTGGGGAGTTCTTGTAATCTGTAGAGTGTGAAACCTTACAATTTACACCTGCCAATAACCCAACAATCAAACAAGCCACTAAGCTAACAGTCCAACCATCCAACGATCAAGACCTAAGCCACCAATCCAACGATCCAAGAATCCAACAATCCATGAAGGGCTCACAGGGAACCTGACTCCTGGGATTGCTGGACTGTTGGAATGGCGTTGCCCGTACCACCTCCCAATCCCTTCATCCTTCATACCTGAGCCAGGTAATTACTGTGAAAGGTGGTAACGGGAGGGTGCCATCTTCTTGTTGAGAGTAGAACCAAACGAGGGCTGAAATGGCAAAAGAGAGAAGCAGATCCGGTGGGACAAACCAGACCGCAGATGGGTGCCAAGCACATTTCCAACCAGCGTGGTGGTTTCCTTGCACCCGCCCTTGCATCGTCTTGTGCATGGGCATTGAAATGCATTACAGCAACAGGGTATACATATAGGAATAATGAGCATGAGAAGCTATTTGTTCTTGCGCCCGCCCTTGCACGAGATTAGAGGCACATGGGCTTCGGCAACCCGAATGCCACCCATAGTCTGGCCACAATAGGCGGTTTCCAACGGCATCCAGGTCAACAGGCGATTGAACGGCTATGGGCGGCCCTGTCCCACAAAAATAACACATCACTCTCATCACATGCAAGAACCCTCTCAATCCTCATATGCCCTACTAAGCCGCCATGAAACAAGGCGAGGCGACTCTGCGATGCTCGCTCTCGATTCGAGCCACCAATTGTTTTGCCTCTGACAGCCTCAGCAAGGTGTAAAGATTCAAGGGGTGGCACGAGGGATTTCAGGGGCTTGTCAAAAAACCTGCGCCGGTAAATGCTTTTCGGGAATACAGGGGCAGCAGGCCTTCCTGCACAACTATAGCAGGCTGTGCATAATGATGATGTGGAATGCAGCAGCTTCTTGAGAAAGCATACACGTGAGGACGAAGGCAAACAAAATATCGTATAGCAAAGATGTGCTTGCTTGCCGTAGCCATCTTTCTGCAAAGACTGCATCCAGGTAAAAGAAACCCACACTGTCACTAATTTCGGAAAATCAAATTGAAAACCTATCTCAGCGCGGAAGTCTAAATGATGGCAAAGTCGAAGCCTTGCCTTCCGCTTCTCTGCTATGCTTTGACACGCAACAGTGAAGGGGGGGCAATGCGCCAAACTTTAAAGACTCTACAGCATGAAAAACTGCATTCACGAAAAAGGTAGTTGTGGCTTTTGAGAACGGGTATGGCATGGGGGATGGAACGAAATGAAGAATGTTTTGGTGGATGCCTCGGTAAGGGCATGGAACAAAGCGGTCTGCATTGCGGATGCAAAGGGTCTGGAACAGGGTAAGTACGGAACGGGAGGGCTCACTGCGTGTCTGACAACCTCAAATCTTTGGCAGAGATAAGGCTTGGGCAAGTCGGCAGTCACATTCTCCCGCATGAGGGCCGACACGTCCTAGCTGCAAGTGAGCAAGAAGATTTGCTGCTTCGGCGTGTATCGCATCAGGATGCAGTTGCATTCGAGGAAAGCTTCCCCACAAGCAGTTCCCTTCAGTAGCGGGTCCTTCACTCGACGCCCGCCAAGAAAGATGGCCATAACCGTGTCATGATGATTTGCTACCGCCTCGTTTTCATCCCCTGAAGCCAAAATAAAGGCCAGGTTGGGACCTTGGAGAGATGCATAAATCACAATGTCATATGGTGGGCAACATTCTGCAAATGGATTAAGCTCGGCACAGAAGCCTTGTACATAGGCCGATTTTACCAACCGAAAAGTTTGAGGACCACGGGCCTCCGGAGCTCCAGCAGCAACCATCATGTCCGCTGAAGAGCTGCAAGTCAGACAATGTCACAACATTTCAAGGCCTGACATAGCGCACTAAAGCCACTCCTCCCACATGTGGCAAGCAATCACATCAACTATGGCTGCCCGTGGTTGCCTGTGGTGGCATACGCGGCACGTGCTACAGTATTTTGTGCGAGCTTCTGCTCATAGCACATGGGCAGCCACTAGTAAGGGGCGGATGGGGGAGGAAGCCTCTGAAGTGCACGGGCCACAGCGATGGAAAGCTTCGCTCACATTTTACCAAAAAGTGGGAAGGCTACTGCCGAATGGCTCCGATATGCATCAAAGATCATTTGCCACCATGAATCTCAACAAACAGTAATCCAGCCAGAATTACGCAGGGAAGGGCATCGAAACCTAGAACGACATGTTCTCGTCATCCACTGACCCTTATTTTGAATGTGCAGTTCTTGGCAAGCTGTCAGATGTCCAAATGTGAACCATGCTAGTTCCAGGTCCTGGCAGATTCCTCGTCGACATAGTTTACCTTCCGGCAATACGTGCCATCATCAGCTGAACAGAATACTCAGCACGGGCTCAACTGACAAACCATTTCACACAATCACAGTGTGTCAAACACACCCCGAGTCTTCGCAATGCCAGGGGACGAAAGCCAAACCCAGGTTGGTGGAATGCTTGTTGCCCACTGGCACATACACCAGGTCATAGTTCGTGGTAATTGTCTGAAGCCTCAGCGACGCTTCAGCGTCATTCAGGTTGCGGTGGATTTCAGCGCTTAATCGGCACAAGGCTTGAGATTCCGAACGCTGGGCTAAATGCAGTCACCCCTTCTGTGCCAAGCCATTCTGCGTGGCTGCAGTTGGATTCTAGCCGAGCTTGGCCATCATAGACAGCCTGCATGAAACTTCGGGGCGTGCCTGATGCGGGTGTTTCTGCATGCCACAAAAGCCAACGCGTCGGTCCACGCGAAACGACAGGCATCAAAAAACTCCGTGAAACCTCTTTTCGGCGTTTAAGCTGCGGCTGAGCGGTCAGTCAGAGCTACGTGTTGGATTACGGGCGCGAAAAATTCCAAATTTTGATTCAGGAGAGCATTTGGGAAAAACCATGCAGGGTTTCGGACCTCAAGTTTGGCCTGGCACTCGGTTTCTGGTGGCCTTCCCAGTAAGCAGGGTTTGGCCAACCCTTGTTTTGTTGGGTTGAAGGATTAGGCAAGTGTTCACGCTGGGAACCGCTGCACTGGGCACAGGTGAACCCATCACCACAGCAAAATTTCAAGTTCCTTCCTCTACTCAACCTCCAACAGCCTTGCTTGCTAGGCCCAGCTACACTTTCAAAGCAATTGCTTTGGGGTTCAGCCAGCGCTGTCGGCACTGCGCTCCAAGGATGACCTGTTACGTTGATTTCCCTTGGACAAGTATCAGAAAATCCAAACCACCTGCATGTGCTGCACAGCTGAGCTTGGAGCAACCTGACAAAATCTTCCAGGCTCGTGCTTCGCACCACTCCCCTGGCAGCGGAGTCCCAGCTCGCAAGTTTGTCTTGGGTGGCTTTCGAGATCAACTGCCTGGCCTGATCATGACAGTCGTCGCACCAGGTGGTAACCCATCATTTGGTGCGTCCTGGGCATACGTCTATGGAGCTGCTTGGGATGTTGCCCGTTCGCAGTGTCTGAGTAGCGGCATCGTGCCCCCAATCTGTACCTTTGGCCCTTGTGAGACCATGAGTTCAGTCTGGATCTTTTTGGAAGACCTCTACAGAACCTCCGAAGAGACAGAGCGAGAGAGAGGTGCCCTGTGGCAAGTTTGCCCTCTACTGGCTTGATGCGGAAGTGCCCGGTGGCTCGTCCAGTCCTGGTATTTGAAATGCCCCATGTGCCAGGGACGCCTGGTGAGATTTCCCAGGACTCAGGCAGAAATCGCAGCATGCAGCAGTCTGCTTCGTTGTCGTGACATGTGCTATGTGCTGTAGTGGCCGGCCTGCAGCACGCGCTGACGGGACTCCCGCGCCCCAACTATTGGTGGAGCTGCAACGGGAATATGGCCACCCAGGTTCGAGCCATGCAAGGATGAGTCAGGAATTGCAGCAAAGGGCACTCCGCTAACAAATGCAAAACGAGCTACAAGCACAGTCACAAAAAGTCAGACCTTCTGCATTGACGGCAGCTTAAAGAACATGAAGTCAATGTCCACCGTTTTGTGCCTGAACTCCATGTCAGTTGCGGGTCATGTTGCGCAGGCAGTCAGGCCGAGGAACGTCAAGTGGTTGTGCAAGCCTAGCTTCTGCTTCATCTGTGCTTCCCTGAACACTGAAACAGGAGCACTCCGTTGACAAATCATGACTACTTTCCAATTTATGTGCAAGCTGCACGAAGTCCTGTCTGTCATGATCTCCTCCCAGATTTCCTTGATCAGATCATTGGGATGCTGATCCAGCACCTCAAACATTGTAAAATGTAAAGCACAATGCCATCATGCAGACGCCCCATCTTTCATGGCCTCTAGCAGAGACCTCGCAAGAACCTTGAAGAGCAGGGATGCTTCTTGACTTGACCTATTGAAGCGAGCTGCGCGAACACGAGGCATTTTGCGCGCTTTGCTCCAAAGCCAACAGGTCATACAACTCTGAAACTTGAAAACCTGACAGCTCAGTCGTCGGTGAGGTCGACCACGGCCTCAAATTCACCTGAGCTCCAATCGGGCCAACTGTATGTCATGCTTGCTTCTCACTCAACATGATGAACCGATTGCCATTCGGGTGACTCTCTCGCCCGCGCTTGCATCCTTGTGAGGTTGTGGATCTTGCAGGCTCACTAGGACTCCGCCAGAGCCTGAGCATGCTGGCACGAGGCCAGAACTCGTGATCTTCTGCAAAACACAATCGATAAGCCATAAGCAAAACCGGTCTCAAACTCTTGCAGACCATGTCCAAAATCGCACCAACAATTCCTGTAGCCTCTGAGAACTGCAGCCAACCGAAGCCCCAAGCATGAGTTAAAGAAATGCCTCGGAGGCGGCCATGGTGGCTTGGCATCCTCCTTGCAAGAGGAGAGGTGCCTGAATGGACGACATACAGAACCATTTTGGCGAAGTCTATCCCAGGCCTCTTCAGCTCAGCAAAGCTGCGGCCAAAGTTCTTGCCACATCCTTTTTAGCAAGATACAGCAAGTGGTACACGGGCAACTCTTCGATCCTTTTTTTAGCTCGTCTAAGCTGCAACAAGGCGCGGTGGCAGCACAAAGGACGCTTCTTCATATCTTCATGCAAGTCTTCCAACAGCCTGGGCTATCTCTGTCTCTTGCTCGGGGCCATCCTCATGTAGCATGTCTAGCTGCCAGCTGTACGATTGCACTGCTTTCCTTCCCGGCCTTGCAGAAAAGCCGCCCTTCTCCTGCAACGTGCCAAGCACTTCATCCAGAGAAACCTTCAGAGGCTTCGACAAGGCTCCAGGTGAGCAACAGGTAGTGCTCTTCACTGGGCAAAGCACCAGAAATGGCGGGCGGAACGAATCTCAGCAGAGGCACTTAGAAGCAAACCAGTGCAATATCACTTTGCTAGCTTCACACCATTGCATAGATCACAGCATCTGCTCGATAGAGATATGCAAGTCAAGCTGCTGAAATGCTTTGCATTCCTTACAGTTGTCGAAAGGTGGTTAAACGAAGTCAGCTTTTGTACAAGGAAATCTACCGCGAGGAAGCCCAATGCCTCCAAGTATCTTCATCGCCACAGAGTCCATATCTGCAGTGAGCAAATGAACGTGCAGCTGCCGCAATGAGGGAACTGCATGGATCCCGTGCACCCATCCTTGCAGCAAGTCTTCTTTGGCGACATGAAAAGCACTAGCCATGCATTCCGCATGATCGAAGTCGCACAGCCAAGTTGCCAGGTTGCGACGTTTCGAACGCCTCCATGAGCCATGCCACGTAAGCAGCAAGTCGCCTGTGCAAGCTTTGCAGCGAGCAGAAGCGGATTCACTACGCCACCACGCGGTGGGCGGCATGAAATTAAATGAGTGGGTGCATCCAACCAAATGCAATCCAATCGCCTGCAAGATACCCGTGCACTGCTGCACGCTGGCATTCTGGTGTAAGCACGCCTTTTGCACGGCCCGTTTCGTGCTCAACCGACGAATGTTCATTCAATCTGCTTAACCGCCTTTTTGGCATCCACTGCCCCACCTTTAAGCTCCGGATTTAATCGCAAAATGAGGTCTGCTTATGATAAGCCATTTGCACGTGCCCGGCAAGTCCAAAAATCAGCCTTGGGTTGTATAGGATGGATGTTGAGGATTCAGCAGCGGAGGCTATATGCGCAAAGAATAAGTGGTCGAGTTTTTGGACAGATCCCCCATCCTTGCCCTTGGCAGAAAGCCCCTCTCTCTGGGTTCCTTTAATGTTGCACCTGCTTTAGTGTAGAGGCCCCCTACAATGTGTTTTGGCGCCCGCTTATTCAGGATCAGGGGCAATGATTGTGAGGCCCCCTAGAATGTGTGTTGATTTGGGGGTCCTAAAAAATTGGAAAGATTCTCAACTCCCTTTTTAATCAATCCACAGGGACCTCAGAACCGCGGGAGGCTGGGAGACGGGGGGGGATGGGGGGAAGGAGGGGGGGAAGGAGGGGGGGAGGAGGGGGGGAGGAGGGGGGGAGTTCTCCTTAAAGAGGGTGCAAAATTACCCCCAACTCCTCATTGGGTCTCACAAAATTGTGAGGAAGTTTCATTCATGAAGCCGTGGTTTCCTTGGCGAGATGTCGTTTGGATAAAGAGGAAGTGGGGAACGAGAATCCATGCTGCTGCAGATGCTGCCACCCTGGGTTGGTCATTACCTCGCATACTGGTCCTTGAAGACTTGGATTGCCAGCCAGAGACGTCACATCCGTAGCAAGATGGCAGGCATGCAAGCAGCTCACGCGACAGCGGTCGTGCCATTGCTCTTGCTGTCACGGGCCTTGCCCGCCATTGCGCTGCTAACCCTTACCACATCTTTTGACATGCTTTGAAGGCCTCACCATTGGCAGATGTGCCGCTGTGAGCTGTGCCAAGCCGACAACCCGTGTGCGCGGGAGGACCAACAGGTGGACGGCTGCCTCAGAATTGGTGTAGCGGCAAGCACACGTCTGCATTTCTTTTTGCTGCAGATTGCCTTTGGGTAACCGTCATGGATTGTGACGAAGTCCTCACAGGTAGTAATCTCAGCAGAACAGCACAGAAGCGAGCTACACCGAGCCCTGATCACTTTATGAAACTTCGGCATGTGACCTGCGCAGTGCTTGCTTCTATCTCATAAACGGAAGGAAACAGCACCACGACAAACATGCAGCTGGCATCGCTTCTTTGTTCGGGTGTGGCAGCTTGTTAGTCACAGCTGAGTGTCCTCTGTGCTGTGGATGATGTGAGGAAGTAGGCTTTCATCGCCTGCCTCCCATCTCTCAAGCGCCTTCAGGAAAAGCTTCATCCCAGACTCCATAAAAACGATGCATCAGGCGTCCTTCTCCAAGATTAACGTAAAGTGTCCAGCGCAAGGAAGAGGACCAGGATTCGATGTTAAACGGGGAGGCACACTGCCTTCCCAGATGCATAGCTTCATGCATGAAAAACTCTGCAGCTTTCACACCACGCGCCTTCCAAAGAGCGATAGAAGCTTGGCAGATCCTCTTTTCCTGGCACCTCCAGCTTTGTGCTTGTGCATTATGTCATGAGGGTGCACAAAACTTCGAAATACTTCGAATGCATATTCCAAGAAAGGAGGTGGACAGCTTTATGCTCGAAAGCCTCCATCCAAAACGCCCAAGTCTGTTGTCCTGCGACGATGGCAATCACCGAAACATGCGCATTTCCTTTCGGAGCAGAGGCGGTCCTGCAAAAAAAAGGAGTGACAAGCTGACCAGCAGGGCAAATCGCCAGCGTCTGCGCATCAAGCGATAGTCATGACGATTGTCTCTGAAGCTTTGAGCCAACTTGGCATACGGCTCAAAGCCAATTGCAATGCAATTGCTTGCGAGACTGCGAGACTCTCAAAGCTGGGAGGCTGGCAGCTCTGCAGCTCACTTCGCCCTTTGCCTTGGCAGTTGCCTGAGGTCACCGACAGCATGTGAGCACACTACGTGAAAGCACATGCCAGTACATGCCTGCCGTGCAGGGAGCTTTCGTAGCGCAGCCAGTTCACCGAACCTTTGAGGGGGGTATTTCAAAATGAGCTCACGCTGCACTCTCTGGGACGGGGCCCCTTCAGACCCAAGCTAAGTTTAGGCGCCTGCTGTCTAGATTGAACTCAACTGGGTCTTCTCAAATGCTGGGCCCTTTTCTTGCTCTTCATAATGCTTGCGCCCTGGTGAAACTGAAATGCCTACAACCCTGAGTAGGGACTGCACGTTTCGCCGGCTTTGAGCAGAACCACAAAGTTACCTTCCTGAATGTTGGAAGTGTTCATGACATGTTACAACGGCAACGCCCTCACATTTTTCGAGAGTCGCCGACGCTAATCTTGGGCAAGGACTTTCCAGATTTCCACCTCACCCTTTACAATGAAATACACAAAGTCGCGGCCAGGCTGAAAGACCTCTCCATCCTGTGTGTGGCACCAACGGAGTCCAAGAAATGAGAACTCGACAAGAAGACACCTTCAGGATGACCTCTCCATCTTCAAACTTCTTGTCTACCTCGACACAGGCCATGTTTATGCCGGAGAAGGCCGCAGAATGCTAATTCTGAGGATGAAGCCATTCGCTGGCTCAACGCATAGACAAGGGGAATTGGCGCATCCTACACCATACTTTTAGCTGCAAGCTTGGAAAGAAGGCCTTCACTTCAGGCCTGGAAGACGGGACTCATGGCCAGCAGGCTGGCGTCAACCTCTGGGTTGCTAGCTCAAACCCACAGAGCCATAACGAATATATGAACAGAAAGCCCGGTCGGTTCTTTTTTGTGGGCCGCAAGTGCTAGACCGAAATTTGGAAAAGGATTACAGTGAGTATGACAGTGCCGATTAGCACCGCCAGAGATTCAATCCATTCAGAGTCATCAGACTCGGAGCCACCGGAGGACCTTGCATGCAGCGAGGAATCCGGAAAGACATCTTGCAATGGCCAGCTAGCTGCCTCAGCGAAAGTACAGTCAAGGAAGGAGATTCTGACCTGTCGATCTCCGTTTTGGCCGGCTGCATGAGCATGTATTCCTTGTCTTTACAGCTGGCTGTCTCAACATGCCTCAAAACGTGCATAACTTCGTGAAGTATGTCGAGTCTTTTGGCGTTTTGCCATGTCACGCGACTTACGTCCGTCTGCGGCAAGGATGACAACTCCAGTGAGTACCGGCGCGACGTCGGTGAAGCCTCTGCAAGCAAAACTAAATGCGCACAGTGTTCAAAACCACAGTTGATTGCAGGGCTGGGTGAATTTGGGAGCTGGGCCGTGCCCCAGCCAATGATCTCTCTTTCTGACTTTTCGTCTTCCTTCAGCTGCTCAAGCTCGGCAGCACAGGCCTCCAGCACTCCAGCGGTGCTTTTCTGCATGCACTCAGCCAAGCATGCCTTCCCTCAGAAACCCTACGCAACCCGCCTCAACTTCCTTCTCACCTGGCAAAAAATGCCAAGAACCAGATGGTCTTGAACCACTTGAGAATGCCAGGCCTGCATTTCCCCGCATGAGTTGTAAGCCTCGAAGCCGCCGCAGCTCCATCTCCTTCTCCATCCGTTTGTCACGGACTTCGGCTGCACGATTGGACTTCCAGATAATGAAGGCCTCAAAAGCACGGAGTCACCGGCTTGGCTGCATGCTTTCTTGCTCAGCCTGTCAGAGATCTTCTAAAGCCGGATGTGGGAAGCGGTAAAGGCAAACCACAGGTTGTTGCCAAGACGCATAAGTGCCAAAGATTAGGACAGCTGCGATGAGCGGTTGCCAGATTAGCAACCGGTCACGCACCTTCAAACAGCTCACGCCGATCAAACCCCTCAGGCCTGTGGGCCATGGCGGACTTATGCACGGAATCTCGGGGCACCGAGAAGGAGGGAACTTCAGCAAGGCCCCGCAGCATCACCTGACGAGCGAGCCCGTTGACATGAGAAGGGGGCAACAGCCCTGTCTTCATCATGCCGATCAATGAAACGCAGAGCTTCTGACGCACTCATCTCGTGTATACAGTTGGGTTTACATCACATGTCTTCTGGGTGCACTCAATGTAAGGGGGTCCTTCATCTTTCTGCTTGCACCTTCGACGACTGAGCGGGCCCGCGAAGAGCTCCCCTCCAAGCGGTGCTTCGCCTTAACCATCCCCTTGGGGCTGAGAAGGCCTCTGCAGAGCGTGCAAGAGCTACTACATCAACTTTCCGCCCTGACCTGGAGACGGAAACCCAGGCGCGGTACCATTGCAGATCGAGCGCCCCATATCCGCCAGGCCAAGATGCCAAACGCAGCACACCCTGCTGCTGGCCATCGGCGGCAAGCCATACTACACGCCAACAAGCGATCTTTTCAATTCCTTAGCTTCCTTTTGCGAGGATTGTATTGTAAGCTTCCAGAACTGGAACCGGCTCACATGGATGGCTTGGAATCCGTCTGTACATAAAGCCAAGCTTTGTACAGTGTCCGGTGCAAACAGGCTTAAGTTCACCATGCTGCGTGTCTGCAAATCCTGCAACCATTCAGTTCGGACGATAGTAAGCCCAACACTTGTGGCACATGCGGCCCGAATCCAATAGCGCATCCAGGCCTCAGCATGGTAGCACATCAGATCTCAGGTTCCTTGAGAGCCCCTGCAGAGCAGAATGCATGCTCTCGAACTGGAACAAGGGCCCCAGACAAGCGTCCGCAAATGTCCTGAACTGCGACCGTGCCCTTATCGGGTCCATCCTGGGCATGATCTCAGAAGGCTCGGCAAAGCATGTCGAACCACCGCGATCTCATCTCCTGTGGTCCCATCGCTTCATTGATGGCCGTGAGGCGGGTCCTTGCCAGCTCCAGCCTAAGGACAGACGAGCAAATTCAAGCGGAGGAGAAGATAACACCTCTGACGCGCTGTTTGAAACTGCACAGAGCATTATGAAGTAAGGAAATGCACTCTGAGCACGCTGAGCACCGCGCAGGCGCAGGCGAGCATCAGGATACTTGGCCAGTATCGGGACCATGACCTGCATGATACGCTCAGGTGCACTCCACAAGAAGCTGCTCCGCAAGCAACCTGCCGTGAGAGCTTCATGCACTGACAAGCAGTTGCAGTCTTCACGGTCGCCGTCCGTCGCTCCAGCCTGAAGCACGGAGCTTGTCTTGACATCTAAGCGGGTATAAACTTTGGCATGTCAACACGTGCTGGGCTGGCAAATCTAGAATGCCGATCTCACCAATGACCTCTTCTTCTATCCTGTCCATGTACTTTTTCAATGCCATCAAATTGGAGTCAGTCGCACAGCCACAAACTGCTGGAGAGTCTGCCTACCCAAGAACTGACCGCAGGAGGAAACCTCACAAGCACCACCTCAGTAGCAAAATCCGTCAAACATGCACTCAGTCAACCAGGACAGCCAAGAAGGATGCAGTAAGGAAACGACGAAGTAGTATGAACATCTCATCGCAATTGACGTCGCCTTCCTGTCGGAAGCATGAGAAGCTTAGATACCGTGTACCCACCTCTGACCAACTCAAACAAATTACAGTTGCGCCAGCGACCTGTACGAGCACCTTTCCTGGCTGGTACCAGTAGGTTGACCTGAGAATGATGCTTCTTCGGGTGTGCGTCCATCTGCTTGCACCAACCGCGGCGGTCTGGGCAACCAGCGTATTCATTGCAAGCTCTGCGACCTCGTGTTGGCAGGTTCTCACTTGCAAACAATCCCAGCGCGAAGGGTCGGACAAATTCATGCATCGATTCACTGTTGTCCGAGAAGAATGGCAGCTGCTTCAGTGCATCGCATTGAGTCGCCTAAGTTCTGGTCAAGACCATGCGAAACAGCTCGCCCGAGGCCGGCCTGCTGCTCCAGATTGATGTCATCCTTCACATCTATAAGCTTACCTTTGCCAGCGTATCCGGAGCTTTTTTCAGGTGCAGTCAATCACAGGCACATGCACGCTGCAATGAGCACCAAAGACTTCAACGCCATCACAACTGCTGCACACACAGCCGATACGCTCGCTAAAGAAATCCCACCTAGCTCCATGAGCTTGTGCTTCATTTCTCTTTGGAACCTTCATGCGCTGCTGTTCGAAAAAAAAGTGTTGATTTTTTATTGAGTGAAAACGCCGAGGGAGGCACTTCCGCTTTTCCCACGGGTATTTCCTCGGATGCTGTCAGCCAGCAAGATACATTCCTTGTGCACTGCGGCCAAAAGGCTCTAGAATCGAGTGGAAACTGAAGCGCGAGATGATAGCTACATCACATTGCCTGGGCCAAAGCTCATGCGTTTGCAGTGCACGTGGCAGGCTCTCAAGGCAGATCTCGTCTTGAGGTTTTGCAGTTGCCCAAAGGCATTGGCAAACAGAAGGATATGGCTCTGTTCCCAAAAAGCTGTAAGTTCTTGGCGCCAGGGATCTGACGGAGGCTGTCCGGCGGTTGTCCACATTCAACAACGCCGTCTGGCCGACAAGCGCAGATTCTGACTGCGACTACCCAAATTCAAGTCCGTGCAACTTGCTGCGAAGTTGTTTGAAATCGAATCCAGCTCCCACTACCCATGCCAGCTGAAAGCAGGCAAGATGCATACCGCACACTCTTTTTCAGCAATGCACGCGGATGTTTTCGTCAATCCTCTGTCTTCCCTTGACGCGATGAAACCTCGCTTTCCCAGAACTTGGGGCTCAGTGCTTGGGATTGCACGGGACTTTGCGCCAAGACACAGAATTGTCTTCGCAAATGAGCTCGAGTAGCTGGAAGGGACAAACAACGGAGCTTCACTTGCAATGATCATGTCCTGAAAATGACACTTGGGGGCCTTTAGTGCTCAGGATGTCAGGGTTTGATCCAGGGCTTTGGGGCTTGAGGGCTTAGGGGTTGGGATGCGGGTTTCGAAGTCTCTGGTTTGGTGGCTTTGGATTCAAAGTTCTCTATCGTTTTGTTGCTGGCGTCGTGTTGTTCGGTGCTGCTGGATTTCGGGGGCATCAGGGTTAAAAAGCTAAGGGTTTTCTGGCTTAGGGGTGCACGGGCTTCAGGACTTTGGGGCTTGTTGGTGATGGGGACTGAGCAAATTTAGGGCGATCAATTCAGGGAGGTGACTTCTCTACATGTACACGGCTTAGGATTAGGGTTTAGGGATTATGGTTTAGGGATGAGGGCTGATTGATCAAGGGCGTTCATGAGTACAGTTTAAGCTTGCTGCTGTTCAGGCCCAGGGTGTAGGGTTGCTGCCGTTAGCGCGTGTGGTTAAGGGCTCGCAGTTCGAGCTGTAGGGTTCACAATTTGGATATTGAAACCCCTCCAAATATTCAGAATAAGAAGTTGAGGTGCCTGAATTTCCTGAAGATTACGTTTAAAGGGGAAGACGACTGTTAAAAGTGGCCACCTAATAATGAATTCGAGGAAATAGTGGAAAATGCATGATCCAAACACGTAGTCGGGTAATCCTGACAAATGGTTGGCGGATTTGGCAATTTAGCGTGACAATGGGTTGGCGGATTTGGCAATTTAGCCTGAAAATGGGTTGGCAGATTTGGCAATTTAGCCTGACGAAGGGTCGGCGGATTTGGCCATTTAGCTTGGCAAGGGGTGGACGGCAACAGAGTTGGCTACGCAGCTTGGCTTGATTTTGGGTTGCTTCAGTGAATCGGGTTAGGGTTTAGTGTTTGGGCTTAGGGTAAGGACTTGGTGATTGTGCCAACCAACCTTCAAGCAAAGCGCACCGGGGAACTTGTACGGCTCAAGAGTCCCATGTGAGCGTTCTTCAAGATGTGAAGGTGGACTCCAGCAATCTCATACCCATGTATCTTGAAGGATTTAGATGTTCCCCTACTGTTAGATGCGCCCACTTCACTTGACAGTGCTGTGATACCGATGGCTCCCGGTGCTACTGGCCCGATATACTCGAGAGACCGCAAGAAACTCATCAGTTTGCTCGCTCAGAAGTCCGAACAGCCTGCGGGGATGTCCAGGCTGGGAAGGCTTAAGTCCGACCAGTCCCCAGTCCCGACCCGTCCGTACCAATGCCGTCCAGTCCCGACCAATCCCCCCAAAGACTAAGTGTGTCTTTTCCAGAAGTCCCGAGCAATCCCGACCCCCGAGCAGTCCCGGACGAGTACCAACCAGCGGCCGTGTTCTAGGCTGGGAGGGCTTAAGTCTGTCTTTCCCACATCAGTAGTCCCCACCAGTCTTGACCAGTCCCGGCCGATCCCCCCGAAGTGCAACTGTGCGGGGTCGGGGGATCGAAGCCCCAAAAGTGACAACAGCTCTACATTCGAGTAGTCACAGCAAGCCGAATGGAGAAGTCACAAGTGCCCCCTCTCCCGTTTTAGGTTTTGGAGGATCTGGTATTTAGAGTTCCTAAGAATTCTGGACCTGAGGCCTTGGAGTTTGGGGGATGAGGGGTTTTAGAGGCTTTGGAACTTGGCAGCCGCTTTAGGTTGCTCAGGGCATTGCTGGATTTGGAATTGCTGGCGTTTTTTTGGGGGGAGTTTCGGCCTAGAGCCTGCGCAGATGGTACTGTCAAAACGACAACAAGTCAGAACAAGAAGTGCTGGGTTCTCTGGACAGTTAAGCGCGCGCCCACTCAACCCCTCCGCCTACATTGGCCACAGCAGAATTGAAGGCACTCCAAAGAAAGGACATGTCTCGATGAGGGCTCGCTGCCACGGCATGAAGGCGGACTCCTACAGGGCAGCAGATATGTACATGGCTTGAGAGCAAGTTGGCGATGGCTGCTGTCCTTGAACTGCACCACCTCCATCCCTAACCTCCGTTGAAGGTCCACCAAATCCTCCTCGTCCTGCACACATGGCGTATCTGAAGCATCTTGAGAGAAGAGAGCCAATGGCACCTTGCAATTGCTGGAGAGGAAGGCTTGTCGGGGATTGAGGCCGTACTTGTCCAATGTTGATTGGACCTCCTCAGCCAGCTTCTCCGCGTCCTTGTGCATGCTTGTTCCTCTCAGCTTTCAACAAAGGGAAACCACATCCTTTCAAGTGAAGGTCCGGCTTCCAAGATTGCCACAATATGTGGTAGTGTCTTGTGAACGCCAAGTTCTCTAAGCAACTGCGTTGCAGATTACATAGCCTCCATAACGCACATCAAGAGTCTCGGCCAAACCCTTCAAAAGTAGGCAAGCAGTCCATGTCTCCAGTGAATGGCAATGAAGTCTCCGCTCGGTGCCAGCCGTTCCTGCACCCAACTCCGAGCTGCCTCGACTAGCCTGAGCGTTCCGTATTTCCTACACAGGTCAATTGCTCAGACACCTGCAAATCATCCTTCAAATAGGAGGTTGTGGTAGTGCATTGCGGGATGCAGGAAGGTGTGTGCGTGTGTGTCCGTAACATCATCTGGGCCGCGTGGCATTGAAGGCCATGTCGTACGGCCATTGCCTTTCGCACTCTCCTGTAGAAGTGGTTTCACTTCTCCATCGCAAGGCTTGAAGCGCTGGGTGAGATAATCAATTAATTAAGAGAGTGAAACCCGAGTCCTAGAGGGATCAAGTCCACACCTGGGCCAGGCTCCCGCATGTTGCGTTGCCAGCTCCAGATCTGTGATCATGCAAGCATATGCAAGCTAGAAGCCTGCGAACTTCAGTCAAGCATCTGTAGCCCGGAAGTTCCTGGTTGTTGCGTGTGTTCAATGCCTTGCATCAGTCACCAGCTACCCTCCCAATCTGCGCAGGCATCAGGATCAAAACTCAATTCCACCAAGGCACCAGGACCTGCAGGCAGGCAGAGCAAAATCAAAAGGTAATGACTGCCGGCAGTGATGCAGCATAGCTGAACGCGGAAGAGCACCTCTCCTAATGAGTCTGACATGCCGATTGCAGGCAGAGGGTGCGCCTCCTCCTCACTGTGCAAGAATGGAGTCATCATCTCGCGGGTCTCCAGACCTACGCTGCAGCGATTTTACGCATGGTCCGCAAGATGACTGCTACCTGCTTTCTGCATCTAAACGTCACTAAGGTGCGAGCATTTTATTTGGGAGTACTGCCAGTCATCCCCGAAAATGCGCATGGAATGTTCGGGCATGTGAAGGACTTGCCCTGCATCACAGTCTATGCCTGTTGCCAGATCACAGTCTATGCATATTGAAATGCAAGAGCACAACTCCTCCCATGTCCACCGGATTCCACCAATTCCAGCACTGAGCAACTGGCCATGGTGATTCTTTGCCTCTCTTGGAGTCATATAAACCACACCCAGCTTGGACTGCATTTGGTCTCTGAAGTCCGCGTAGGAAATCCAAGACGCATAGCTCTCGAACCTTGAAGTTTCTCCATTCTTGAGAGGTGTTGAAGATTGTTTGTCATGGGAAAGGCCCGAAATCTGACAAGAAAAACATTCGAGTGTCACTCAATCGACACAAACTGCAAGCACATGGCTCTCACTTGCTTGCTGTCTGAGGGAACAACGCGAATGGATCATACAGGCTATGGAAAGGCTCGAAGTGCGCATTTCGGTCCTCTAGCATGCGCGTGACAGTGACACACTTGCACGTACATCGCATCAAATCAAAAAGTTGAAATCATCTGGACAAGCGTGGCGCCTGATATTGATCTCCATCAACCTCTGGCACCCAAAAAGGTGGTCTCGGCACACATGTGAGCTCATGTGCTCTTCGACTCTCCAAACTTGTCGTGAAACGATGCAGTGTCAATGAGTTTCCTGCACTAAGCTTCTGTCAAGACCAGCGTTCTGCCAAGCCTTGGAAATAACACACTGCAGAAAGCGCTTCTGAGGTCACCAGCTTGTCTGCACTTCGGACTTGGCGAGGCTCTTTCTGGAAAGCTTCAAAGCCGTCTGAAACCAAAGAAGCCGCTGATCACCAAGCCCATTCCTGCAAGATGGGTACATTGCACAATGTAACAAAACACATGTAAAGACTGAGATAGAGCTCCTGTAATTGAAGCTGCAGAACAGATATCGCTTCTGTACGCAATCTCCACTTGCAGCGCACACCTCAATTCAAGACGTAAGACGTAGAGGTGACAACTGGCCTGTCTTAGCACAAAGGGTACACCAGTGTCGGATGTCAGAACCGCTTCTCAAGTCAAGGCACGTCTTTCTCACATTCAGTCAGCATCCAGCTTCCCAGAACCAGCAGCCAAAGCGGCCCACACGAGAAGGGGAAAGCCTTGCCGGAGGTCAAAGCTTCTCATGTCAAAAAGCTGTCATAGAGCCCCTACGTAATCCTACTGAGTTGATGTCTCACGCCTTTGCTGTCCTGGGGCATGCGGCCATGGCACCGGCCGCTTAAGTCCCATCAAACTCTCACGAGGTGAACTTTGCTTGAATCTCTTCTTTTATAGGTTCAGGGTGGAAAGTCGGACGTATGCTCAATGATACAAGGATTGGCTCGAGCACGACATGGCGCATCGGGTACCATCGCAGGAAGAACGCTCAGAAAGCCATTCACTGGAAGTGACTAAACCTAAGACACCAAAGCCAAATTTGGAACCCCCTTCACCTCGCCAATGATGGAGCCATCTTTCAATTTGCACACATAGCGACCGCCAGAGGTGACCTCTAGCAGATGCGTCTCAGATCGGTGTACCTTGAAACCGTTCAAAGCTGTGTGCTATCAGCACTGCTCTAGAGCCTCAACCACGCCCTTGAAGAGAACGTACCTCTCAACGGCAACACTTGAAAGTATGGGAAGAGTATGCTCAGACATTCCCAACTTAAGTCCGCGTGCACACTCAAGTCAAGTGCGTGAAATGTATTTTCCACCCATCGGCGGCACAAACGGTGTTAATACTGAACTAGTCTCTGACGCTCCTCCTCTGACAAACCGTGCTCTTCCTCCAAGAAATCTGCAAGCTCTTGCTTGTTGTCGGCCACCTCATTTAAATCGGTAGCTCCCATCTCATCACACCAATTGTTTGCAGCGGTCAGGTATGGCTCCAGGTCACGTGTAGTCATCCAGAGGTTGAGCCCAGGCACAGCTTCTGAGACTTCCGTTTTGCTAACTGGTACAGCCAGATCTTCCCACTCTTCCTCTTCCTGCTCTTCTACAGGTACTGCAGTGAAGCCCAGAGTGCGCATCGGCGGCGGCAGAAAGACCTTGCCACTCTCTGTCCTCCTGCTTCGACACCAGAGCTTGGTCGCCCCAAGCTCACCGGCCTTGGAGACCAGCCTCCGCAACAAAACCTCCTCGGCATAGAGGCCCTGATCCATGCAGTCATCACCCAAGCAAAGGTCGACCAAGAGCTTCTGTGTCCGGCCGTTGTAGCACCAGAGGGCCATTGCTGAGCCCTTGGTGGTGCCAAGCAGGCTGGTGCACTTTAAGTTTTTGAGCCTCTCGGCATCTGAGGGTAACGCATCCTCCGGCTTCCTTCTTCGGAACTTGGAGGTTCGCTTGAACTGCTCCACCATGGACTTAAAGCCGAGGACAGTTCCATTCATGTTAGCCACATCATTGAGGGTTGTGTTAACACTGTAGCCAAGATGTCGGCGCGCTTCGTTGGCGACTTTCCACCTGTTGGCCAAGAAGAAGGCCCTGGGCAAATCCTCGGTGAGGTCCAGCTCCTGAAAGTCCTCCAAATCCGCCGGAGAGACCTTCAGCTCCTCCGTGACCTCGATCTGATAGTATGGCCACTTCTCGAGGGGAGGCACCTTGGGAAGCGGCCTGAAGCCATCTTCGTCGGTTCCATCGGAGAGGTTGAAGTTTACCTGGCCTCTAAGCTCCAAGATGAGACGCTCACGCTGAGCGTCTGTAAGGTGAGACGTGTCCTCAGGCATCTGTGCATGTGAGACCCACTTTCCATCATCACCTCTAGATTCATAGCCCCGAAGTGAGAACCGGTAGACGCCCACATCTTCTTCGGGAACCCATTCTGGGCTCTTGTTGTACTTGACGAGGATGTATTTCTTCCCGTCCACCCACTTTTCCAGCTCTTCTGGACGTGGAAAAGTCTGCCGGAAAAAGTCATCTTCCTCTTCCGCTGCGTCTTCAAAGCTATCCTCTGAACTTTCTGTCTGTGGCTGTGGCACAGCTTCTGCTCGACGGAGAAGGCGGCAGCTGAGAAAATGACGTGTCTTCCATCTTGAGGCGCAGGCGACTAGGACCGCTGGCATGCCGAAATGCCAGCAAGCTTTCGCGCGGCATCTTGGGACGGTCCGCCAGGCATTCGGTGCAGCCGCTGTATGCGCCACAGGGATTGTGCTGACGCAAGGCGAGCCCAGCATTGCAAGATTATGAGGAGGGTTCGAGTGTTCGGTGCACTTCTAAAGTATTTGAATGAGGCGGGTGATCGTTAGCTTAGTACGAATGTGCTAAGATGGACAGCCAGTTTGATGAGCATTTGCTTATCGGAGAGCTGCGGCCCTGCCTGAGCTGCCATTGACAAGCATCAGTTCAGCCCCAAGATCGGTTGCGCAAGCACAGCTTTTGCAAGGTCGCAAGAATGTAAATTCGTAACCACCAAGGACATGCTTGAGGCCAAGACATTGAGTCCCCTTTCATTCCTTCTTCCATCAGGTAGCGATTGACTGGGTACTCCTGGCGAGTGCAGCAGAACATAAACCAGTCATCTCAACTACGCTGTGGCGGTACCTTATTTATAAACAGGCCTGCCAAACAGGACGAAAATGCCAATCATGGCAGAGTTACACGGCGATTGCAGGACACAATCAAATCACGGATGAACCTGCAGGCATACGCCATCACAGCTGCTTTCCATCCGGATGCACATCACCGCAAACAAGAGCACTCTCTCTCAAATATGTTCTGCTCTTCTTCGATGACACCTACACGGCTTGCAAACAGTTTATCATGTAGGCCGCCAACTCTTCGTGCGTGTCGTGGAACACTTTGCTTCTGGATAACAGCTCCTCTCGGAAACAGAACTGCTTCATACCAGCCCAAGACAAAGCGGCGAACACTCATGCTGCTGACATCCTGCATGGCTTTGGCAAAAAGTGGATCAATTTCGCGTTGTTCCGACACATATCGTTTGCCGACCTGTCAACCAGCTTGTTGGAAAACACATCCACCGCGCTATTGGAACAAGTATGCATCTGGCCACTGAGGAAAGGACCTGGACGAGCATGATGGCATTTATGCTTAGACCAAATATTGCGTGATAGAATGCCACAACAACATGATTCCAAGAAACGTGATTAAACTGGATGCGTTGTGATGCTCTTCAAACAATTGGCAACAAAGCTTCTGACGTTTGATATCTTGCATTGCGCCTGCTCAATTCTTCTAGGCTTGCTGTGTACAGTTTCTCGAGCCGGGCGCCATGAACGTCTCCGATTCAGGCAAGCTGCGATAAATGCCTCATCATCCTGAATATCACTTGAACTGTTTTCCTGGTATGTGCTCTGCACAAGCTCCTTTCTTGGTTAGCAAGTCTTGGCTGGTAGAATCTTTCTTCACAAGGTGGCTGGATGGGCGTGCTTCTGCGACGCACGCCGCTGGCAGGTTCGGAGGCCTTGCGGTTTCTGAGTGCTCGCTGACGGCGCTAACGCCGACCGACAACTTGTAGCTGCAGGGAATTGACTGTGCAGCCACTTCTAGCGGGTGGGGTCGTCGGGGATGCCGCTTGACAATCGGAGCCCGAAGGACAGGCAATTGCCTGCAGGTGTGACTGATTCATCCACCATCTACCTGCCGCCTGGTGCCCATGTTGGTGGGTGTCTTGGGACACTACATGCCGTGGGCTCCGAAGGTAGGGGCCCCAACTCCTCTGGTACGTTGAACCAAGGCATGCCTCTACAGGATTGCGGGAATAAGGTACCTCTGTACCTGCAGTCTAGCCATCTACAACTGGCAGGAGATGCAACTTTACAACTAATTGCAGCGCAACCTACGCGCCAGGCTACGACTGAACCATTTGCGGCCTGCTTATTACAGGGCAACCCGAGCGTCAGGTACTCAATGTAAATCTAGCATGAAGCTTAGCCTGCAACTGAGACTCTCTCCAAGTGAGATGGTAAAGTATGTCCGAGGGAGACAGGGTAGGCGCCATAACTCCGCGAGATCAAGCTTGTACTGCCCAGCTTCGGTTGTTGACTTACATATGAATGTTCGAGCATGCCAGCACGTGTCAATTGCACCGCATAACACTACCCACCAACATCATGGTGTGATTACACAGCACATACTATGAAGTCGGGAAGTCTTCGGTCATCTGCTGCTCTGTGTGACTGACCTGTGGACATCCAAAGAGAGCACATGGCTCTAGTGACTTGTCTGCGCATGAAGTTGAAAAGCTTGGAAGCCAGCTGTCCATTTCTGCAGAGACAAGCAGTGCAACAGCACATCTGGCTACTTACATCGGCATTTGGCAGCGTCCTGCGGACTTCCACCGTGGTCGTGCCAAAGTCAAGTAGTGGAATAAGGATGGGACGCCAAGTTCTTGTTTCAGAAGCCGCTCTCACGGAGAAAACTTTCTGTGAAAATCAAAGGCAATCCCTTCCCAGACTTTGCTTGGTTTTCTGTGCCAGCATAAATAGAACAACGACGCCGCCTTGAAATTTAGCCACTGGTTGGTGGAGAAAGAAGACAATTCGGACGGGCTGTTGGAACTTACCGTATATTTTGTGGAATCTCATGGAGCACTCAGACACAGCCTTAAGCTTCAATGCGAAAGACCCAAATGGATTTCCGTTGGTGGCGTTTGCCATCTCCCGACAACAAGTCTGCGGAGTTCCACCATCTCGTGCACCCAGAGACAAAGGAAGGGTCTTGGGTGGAGATGCCAGTTGAAGACCAAATTGGAGGATATCCTTCATGGCGAAATTAGATGCCCATGTATGCCCATGTCATCGCCAAGGTAGTTTTCCAAAGCAGGTTGCTACCTCACGGACAAGTACGTTCAAGATTGGGATTTCTCTTCATCGTCTGCATTACAGCCAGGACTTCTGACAACGCTGCGGTAACTACTTGTTGCTACCCGCTGTATAACCACAAACGGGACAAACATCGACGTTCTGTGTGGTTGCACTGCTCCTAGCCTCAAACTTACCACTACAAGAAAGCAGAAGGCTCTTCTCCTTTTTTTCTTTGGGTTCCTCTGAGTGTTGCGCAAGGGAGTACTTGAAAGGCTCGGGGGCTTCAAGCCCGGCTCACCTTCCGTTCCACCCCCCTTGTGAAAAGAAACCAGAAAACTCTGGGCTGAACATGAATGTCCAGGCTATGTGAAACTAAGGTGAAAAAACCAGACTCAGCGTGTCTGGGCTAACCTGAGTAGGCTAGGCTTCGTGTTTTCGGCTGGACTGCTGTCCTGAGCGCACCGCCCCGGCGAGGGCTCTCGAGAGGTCTGCGGGCCTCGTAGCAAGCAACTAAGTGCCTGAGTGAAGCTCTGAAGGCTGAGGCAGCAGTTGTCAGAATGTGCGCATTCCTCAGTCCCTGCTCGGTCAGAGACAGGGCTAGGTCAGGCTGAAGACTGAAAGCTGGTGAAACAACTCTAGGCTCGAGACACGGCGTCTTCACCTGGGCGGCAAGGCTTAAGGCTTGTCGGGCACAAAACAGGATCTGGGAGGGCGGGTAAAAAGTTTTGTAAGTAGAAGGCGATCTACATAAGGCTTGTAGTGGGCTAACAGTCTTGGCCTAGGAGCAGTAGTGGCAGCGGGTAAGAACGAGATTCACAACACCACAAAACACAAGAGAAAAGAAAACTCTTAGCGTTCTGTGTGGTTGCACTGCTCCTAGCCTCAAACTTACCACTACAAGAAAGCAGAAGGCTCTTCTCCTTTTTCTTTGGGTTGCTCTGAGTGTTCCGCAAGGGAGGGCTTGAAAGGCTCGGGGGCTTCAAGCCCGGCTCCTGCCGTGACTGCCGTGCATCCATGCGTGACTTGCATGATGAGACCGTGGTACAGCGGAGTACGTCAGCTTCCTTGCCCCCACCCGAGTCGCCTGCCCTAACCCTGGCCAAGTTCATCCACTTGCGGAATGTAGACGGGCCCAGCCAACCAAGGGCGAGGAGCCTATGGTAGCTGGTGGTATGGCATCTATCCGCGCGTTCAACGCAGCTGGTTCCAGGATTGCAGTTGGGCTTTGCTTGTCTGTCGTCTGTTTTCTAGGCCGTGAGTCCGCAATCTTTTGCGCAGCGGAGAATGCTCAGCATCAGGAGGCGCATCTGAAGCGCATTTTGGCAGGCTTTGCTGCTACAACTGTGACACGTTGCTTGAATTCCTTCTTGAATTTCACACAGGCATGTCAGGACTTGGAGACTCTATTGCAGATCTTTCTGAAGATGTGTTAGCAGACATCTTAGCGACCTTATCACTCCAACGTCACGATGACCCTTCCGCGGGGTCGCGCAGCAAAACATGCATCAAGGCCTTGCGCTGGGTTGCAAAGCACGTTGAAGTTAAGTGTTTGGAGGTGCGCCAGAGCAGGGCGATCACTTCTTTTCTAACATCTCGCATCCCTAAGAAAAGGAAAGAGTCCACGCCGCTGCCACTGCATGCAGTGGTGCAGTTTGAACGTCGTATACTCAGCCGAAATGCTTCCTTAACAGAATTGCTGGCATTCGCCCTGCTGGCCACTATCTGGGCCTCACTACGGTTCGCTGACTGACAAAGGGTCGACTGGCATTCCCTTGCTTGGGATAGCACGACATTGGGCCACTTGCTACACGTCTGAGGTTTCTTGGCAAGGGCTACCATGTGGCCTCTCGTGTCAAGGTTTTCTGTCACATGGTCAGCATTCTTGGGTGGCATGATGGCTTCGCGCTTTGGGTTCACTGGGATCCCAACAAGTGCGTGAGGGTCATGAACCCCCCTCTTTCGCCTTGTCATTCAGCCCCTGGTCCCCATGTCTTACCCGCGTGCCCTCAAATGGATCAGGTACATGTTGAGTGTTGAGGCTCCTTTGGCTGCAAAACCCGCCTGCCATCCCCGTAGGTAATTTCACTGCACACTCTTTGAAGTCCACCCTCCTCTCGTACCTGCACGAGCTTCCACATGATATCGGCGACAACAGGAATGCACATGACCATCATCGTCGATCGTCCAAAGAGTTGTATTCCAGGGGTGATGTTTTTTGTCAACGGCAACTGCGAGAGGCGGTTCATTCGGGCCTCAGGCCATGCACGCCGCAGCACCGTGGCGCCCAGCCCCGTTACCGCCGATCCTTGTTGAGGTCGAGACTTTCTCCAAAGCCTTTGATACCTCGGAGCGGGGCTGCTTTTCGCTCACACGCGCTGAACCTGGCCGGGCCCCATTGCGCCCAAATCCTCTATCAGCTTCGCGGAGGAGGCAGGTCCGGCTCCAACACCGGACAGCCTGAACTCAGGAGACTTGCCAGCATCAGAAGGGGATCAGCCAGCTGACTCCCATTTTACTTTCCAAGACCAGCTGCGTCCCGTGGACGAAATTACGTTGGTGTTCTGCATGCGGCAGGCCAGCCATCTGAAGAGGGTCACTCCAGACCCCTTTGCGTTACATTTTTGAAGCATAGAGCTGTGGCACGAAGTTTGGTTTGCCAACACACAGATTCTGCAGACAAGCAGCATCTATGTCAGCTTTTGCAGCCTTAGACATGCAAATCTCAAAAGGGCTCTGTGCATCATGTTGCTGCGCCTTCCCTTGTGTTTGATCACGTATCTTGCTGTCTGAGAGGGCTCTGCTGGATCATGCGCTATAGCTACATGATGATACTTGTTGATGCTCAAACACCAGTTTTGTTTGCTGAGGTTGCGCCCTGCCCCTTTTCCTTCCAACACGGCGTCCGAGAACTCTGGTGATTCCTGGGATGTGGCGCGTCCACCTGACGAAGAGGAGGATATCTCGGGCCTAGCGAAGGTGCTTGCTACTGCAGGGGTGGATTCGAAAATTGCCAGCGTTATGTTCCAGAGACCTGGGATGATTCCAGTTTTCGCCATGCGGTGTGCACTGCGTCCGAGTTTGATGGAGTTCTGCCAGAGCTGGTACCCGGCCTTGACGTTCCACTCT